GATTATAACTAGCGTATAGAACGGAAGTTCAATTCGGCGAACAAAAATGATTCTATTCTTCCAAAATGCGACCCCTAATTGGACTTATGGTTAGTCCTGCTTCGATAGGCGTGGCCTTTAAACATGTCTCAGGATCTGTTGCACGTGGGATATTTCAGCCTGAGGTAGCTGTCGCTTCGTTCTCTGTTCGACAGAGACATGACCACAATTGTGCCAGAATGAAAAGTTTTTTCCAAAAGCGCAGTCACCGCACCGTTCAACTGAAGTACGCTGCCACGCCTACCACATTTCAGGGGATTCAAGTGTACGTAGGCCGGACTACCGCTTTGCCTTTGAAAGACATCTGATTGAATTGTAGTGGCCCTCACCATTCACCACGCTTAGCATTTATGCCTAGTCCTCTACAGAACGAATTCAATACTAACAAAGAGTGCACAACCTCTCCAGAAAGAGAGGGGCTGGTTGAATTGGGTACTTGAAACAGTTGTTTGCAGAACAAAGAGAAAAGTTTTTGCAAGAACATCTAATTTTGTCTCCACAAGTACTGGCGCAATAATAGCGCCCGTTTTAGTTGAAAGGCGTATGAACATTTTTGCGCTGATAATCTCTTGAGATGCGCCATGTGTTCGAATGACTGTGAAGTAAAAGAAGCAGTTGGAACGCGTGCGCGAATGACTCATGAGAGCTGGTCTCATTCTTTTCCTCTATAATCGTATGGGAAAAGTGACCTAGAGCGGTTTTTTTCCACCGTGAAAGGAAGTTCATTTCTGTGGTGGAAAGGGAATTTCCGAGACTATGCCGCAGGTGCAAGGAAATTGAGTATCAAATTCAATTGAATTGAAATTGTATATGTGGAAGGAGCTCGCATAGTGGCAGGTAGCACTGCAAGCACTGTCTGGGGGTGGAATATCGCATTGGCACGCGCCGGCCTAACCAAGCTTTCATAACTTGGGAGTCATTTAAATGGTACTCTGAGGACAGGTTCGAGAAGATGAAAACATTGACCAGTTAAACATCGACGAGCCCCTGTATGTCATTGCAGAGGCCAAGTCGCATTCAAAGAGCCACAAAAGTGAACAGAAGTGAAACGTGCGGCTCGTGGTGAATTTCAGCAAGAATTAATGGGAAGTAGAGGACCTTGAGGGATTTGACCAGGTTAGTCCATGACTTTTCATTTTTAACGACTTTTTCATGACATATGCCACACATAGAGCACTAGCTAAGCTATCAGGATACGCCACAGCTACGATTCTCCTCCATATCCTGACTACTATCTTCTACTACCTTACCTCTGCCAGCTTTTTCCCAAAAATTTTCCAGTCTTTTCCTACAATTTTGCTGACGACTTGGGAGTGGGCGAAGAGAGAGGGGGAGAGGGGGGGGGCACCAGCGAAATGGGAGAACTAGCAAAGGAGCGGCGATCCCTTTTCAGGAAGTAATTTTCTTCCTTTCAGCGAAAACGAACGACCCCCTCCCCACTGGTATTCTCCCAGCGATGCGAATAGCGCCCATGAAACAGGAGAATCAGCTGTCAAAAATGATTTCTGAGACCAAATACGAACCCCCCCCCTGAGGATTCCTCAGCGTAGGACGTGCGCTGCTAGCTATGCATTAGCTCAGTCCTGCCTTTCTAGAAGTTGGTTTAAAAAATTTGCAGGCGTCATTGCGTGGTATGCTGCATTTCTAACTACAAAATTCTCGTAATATCCCGAACTTCTCAGAAACTTACAAGTGCGATCGCGGCGGGGCGCCTACGTACAACTCTTTTCATTGCTTTTGAATAGAATATTACTTTTTCTTGACTTTGCAGTAGAATTTGTTGTGTCGAGCGGAGATATTTTCATGTTGGTAAAAGGTAGAAAGGGCGGAGCCTCGGGATTCGCAGGAGGGGCGTGTGCAGCCTCGGCCTCATTCCCATCGCCATCGGTCCTTGAATAGCACAAGATGCGCAGCTTCTTCGCTATCTTCCTCACTCTGCTCGTCTCAGTCGTCGTCATCACCACGGCTAATCCGTTGCTATACCGTGCTCCACAGGTATGTGTCATGTTTCTATTTTCCGATATTTTCGGCTGGTTTCCATCGGAGTGGTGGCTTGAGAACCTTTAAACTGCTGGGAGGGGTATTCAAAATCATTCCGGCAAGGGATTAGAAGTGTTGGATGGCAACTTACAGGAGTGTCGGTCATTTCTTTGAATTGTTCTTGGAAGTTCGCCGACTAAATTACGAGAGGCTTTAGCAGGAGTTTGCCGTTCATCTCCCTCTCTGTAGAATAAACTTAAAGCTTGAAGATTCCTC